ACGAGAATTATGAAGCCGCCCATCATATGTTAACTAAACAAACAAAAGGACAAGTCGCTAGGAACAATTTTAATCTGTTGTGATCAATGGGTGAGGCTTACTTAGTATTTGAAAACACGGTATTGATTCCCCTTACTCATTGTGGTTTTCGCGACGATTCGGGCACCGAGGTTTGTACTTGAAATGTGGCTTTAGCGGCAATTGGTATTTTTCAAATGTGGCTTTGCCGGGCGAACACCCTCCCGCCGATGGCAAAAACAGTTTGTTTGAAAAGAAACACGGGTCCGCCTTTGATCATTAGTAATCTATGATAGAGGTATATCCAGATAGAACTGACACACAAACACACTTTTTACTTTGACATTTAACGGAATATCATTCCCAAGGCAAATCTTCCTGCACACCGAGGTGCTGTTTTGTACAATAAATAGTGCATTATGTCCTGGTGTTGAGTATCAACCTGTTTTGTATTAACCTTTCTAAATGCTTAGAGAGCTATATCCCACCAAAGGGAATACAATTTGGGAAACAGAATCAAATATGTACAAGATTTTGACGGATACACGCCCATCAACTGCATATGTGAAATACACCATACCGAAACAGTTTTACTGTGCCCGATGTATTGCCTGCAATGTAATCTGACCAATTTGCACGGTCCTTTGTAATTGTTTTGGTAGTCATAGATTATATTTTAATAATAGATGGACAATTTATTTTCGTAACCCGGCAGTTCTTGTTCAACCGGATCTCTGCCCGAGACAGATGCCTCAAAATGAAAGAAACACGGAATTGCCAGTCGTATTCCATTTTATTTTATTTTCTCTTGACAGACGTCGGTGTCCAATTGTTCTTCCTCGCTAAGTCGGCCTTTTCGTTTTTATGTGCATATACGCTTTAATTTTCCAGTTGTGTGACGACGATCTGTAACGTATTCGAGTCTGGACCAGACAATCCAGTAATCAACAGCATGAGCATCGATCTACGCAATCGGGAGACATGTTTCAACCAAGTCAGCAAGTCTGACCACCCCCCAATCATGTTAGTCGCCTCTTACGACAAACATGGGTTGCTGAAGGCTAATTCTAACTCAAATCTGCACGGTGCATAGATGCTGGTAGTGGGGTCAGGGCTGCAGTAAATAAGATAGAAGACGCCAAAGACCTGGGTTCGATTACCCACATGGGTATAATGTGTGAAGCCCACTTCTGGTGTACCCAGCCGTGATATAGCTTGAATATTGCAAAACGTGGCGTAAAACAACTCATTCACAAGGTCCTGGTTCCAGTCACTATGTGGGTTCAATGTGTGTTTCCCCACCGTGATATGGCTGGAATATTTCTAAAGGCAGCGTAAAACCCAACTCACTCACTTTGGAAGGCTAGTTATCTCAGAACTGATTGATGGATGACCCGTCCCTTGCGGCAGCAATTCGTCTTGCAGAGTTGCATCTCTTGATCATCATGGGTTTGTTCCGATGTTAATGTTAATCGTTTGTAAGCACGATACCATTGCTCAAATGTCTAACCAAATAAAAGTTCTAAGACCTGCATCTCCTACTTCACACATTAAAGTGGGCGGTGGGGTAGCCTAATTGTTAAAGCGTTGGCTCGTCACGCCGAAGACCCGGGTTCGATTCCCCACATGGGTACGAGTACAATGTGTGAAGCCCACTTCTGGTGTCCATCGCCGTGATATTGCTGGAATATTGCTAAAAGCGGCGTAAAACCATACTCGCTCACTCCCACATTAAACTGTGATGTAACTGGAATTGTGTTCTCTGCAGCGTTGGATTAAGTCATTCATCAAGTATATCAAAACGATTAATGATTTATGAATTAATATTATTGAGCAGAGTTGTCATTAATTATCACGGGGATTTGACTTGCAGATGATCATTGTTTCTGCTCAGTGTAGGGTAGATTACTTACGTACACTATTGAATCATGAGATTATATCGACTAGGAAAACGTTAAATGCTAATTCAATGACTTTATATATATATATATTAGTCCATACAGCAGCGAGGTAGAGTGTCAGCGAGTAACTTATTCTTATGTAAAAGGGACGGTGGGGTAGCCTAATGGTTAAACCGTTGGCTCGTCACGCCGAAGACCCGGGTTCGAATCCCCACATGGGCACAATGTGTGAAGCCCATTTCTGGTGTCCCCCGCCTCGATGTTGCTGGAATATTGCTAAAAGCTGCGTAAAACCAAACTCAGTCAGTCAGTCAGTCTTATGTAAAATGCACCAGGTGTAGCTTGGTTTTAGCATTGTCAGCATATTGCTCCTTGTATGTCTTTATGCCAAACAATTACCATAGACATAAAGCTAACTTTGTTTTGTATACAAATTAATGTTATGTATAAATTGCACGGTATAGTGATGATTGGTTCAGTTAAAAATGTTTAAAAAGTTGTAAAACTATGGCGCTCTGGCTCCCTAATAGTCTTTTCAACATGCCTCATTATATCATAGACTACCAAATATTAGAGTGAGACAAACGGCGAATAAAACAAACGCAGACATTTTATTCAACAACAATTAAATTATGTACATTTTACAATATTTTAACTCAAAATAGCGAGAATGTCCCAGATTTCGACCCAAATAATCATCGACACCCCATAAAATTCACAACCGGCAAAATCTAGCCCCAAACTTCAACGAGAATTAAGAAGCCGCCCATCATATGTTAACTAAACAAACAAAGGACACGTCGCTAGAACAATTTTAACCTATTGTGATCAATGGGTGACGCTTATTTGAAAAAACGGTATTGATTCCCTTACTCATTGTGGTTTTCGCGACGATTCGGGCACCGAGGTTTACTTGAAATGTGGCTTTAGCGGCAATTGGTATTTTTCAAATGTGGCTTTGCCGGGCGAACACCCTCCCGCCGATGGCAAAAACAGTTTGTTTGAAAAGAAACACGGGTCCGCCTTTGATCATTAGTAATCTATGATAGACGTATATCCAGATAGAACTGACACACAAACACACTTTTTACTTTGACATTTAACGGAATATCATTCCCAAGGCAAATCTTCCTGCACACCGAAGTGCTGTTTTTTGTACAATAAATAGTGCATTATGTCCTGGTGTTGAGTATCAACCTGTTTTGTATTAACCTTTCTAAATGCTTAGAGAGCTATATCCCACCAAAGGGAATACAATTTGGGAAACAGAATCAAATATGTACAAGATTTTGACGGATACACGCCCATCAACTGCATATGTGAAATACACCATACCGAAACAGTTTTACTGTGCCCGATGTATTGCCTGCAATGTAATCTGACCAATTTGCACGGTCCTTTGTAATTGTTTTGGTAGTCATAGATTATATTTTAATAATAGATGGACAATTTATTTTCGTAACCCGGCAGTTCTTGTTCAACCGGATCTCTGCCCGAGACAGATGCCTCAAAATGAAAGAAACACGGAATTGCCAGTCGTATTCCATTTTATTTTATTTTCTCTTGACTGACGTCGGTGTCCAATTGTTCTTCCTCGCTAAGTCGGCCTTTTCGTTTTTATGTGCATATACGCTTTAATATTCCAGTTGTGTGACGACGATCTGTAACGTATTCGAGTCTGGACCAGACAATCCAGTAATCAACAGCATGAGCATCGATCTACGCAATCGGGAGACATGTTTCAACCAAGTCAGCAAGTCTGACCACCCCCAATCATGTTAGTCGCCTCTTACGACAAACATGGGTTGCTGAAGGCTAATTCTAACTCAGACCTCGGTGCATAGACGCTGGTAGCGGGGTCAGGGCTGATGTTTCTCATTAATAAAATAGAATCACACTTAACATTTTAAGAGTGTGTGAGTTTAGTTTTACGCCGCTCTTAGCAATATTCCAGCAATATCACAGCGGGGAACACCAGAAAATGGGCTTCGCACATTCTACCCATGTAGGGAATAGAACCCGGGTCTTTGGCGTGACAAGCGAAAGCTTTAACCACTACGCTACTGCCCCAACATTTTAAGAGGTGAGGTGAAATTGGGTTTATCGTCGTGCTTGAGAATATTTCGCTCATATGACGACGTGCATGCGTGTGTTTGTGTATGTGTGGCTGCTTGTACTAGCTGGATTTTTTTATAGTGCTAGCCCACTGAGATACCATGCCGCACTGACTCCGAGCCGACCAGTCCTTGTTGTACCCATTAATGCCGAGCGCCAGGCAGGGACCAACAAGTACCATAGTTTAACGTCTTTTGGTATGACGCGGTCGAGGATCGAACCCGCGACCTTCCGCTCTCTGGGCGGACGCTCTAACCACTACACCACGGAGGCGGTTACATTTTAAGAGTAGATATGTACTTGGTATGAGTATTTAACATAAGAAGAAAATTTGATACAGCAGATCCCTTCTAAATCCAACTCACTCACTCATCCTGTTTGACCAAGGAGGTTGCACTGCTGTGTTTGGTGTTAAACACCAACTCACCAATATTCCAGTTGCCTGTATATAATGGAGTGTGGTTTGACTGATACGACCAGCAACGATCCGCGCCGTCTGGTGACGATGACACACAACCATCAGATTACACTTGGTGCATTGGTTGCCCGAGACCAGTTTTAACCTGGAACCCTAATGGGATGAACGACCGAGCTGTGTCTTTTGCTCAAGTGAAATGGCGACAGATAAGACCAAAGTGCATTCAATGTCCGATATTGGAGTGAAATATGGTCGATATAGCGACGTGCGTGCGTGCGTGCGTGTGTGTGTGCGCGCGTGCGTATATGCGTGTACTTGTCCGAACTAATGCCGGTTTTACAGTGCTAGCCCGCTGATAAACCATGCTGCAGTTGAAGCCGACTCAGACACTGTCTGCTAACTCCAGTTCTTGTTTCATCCTATTATGCCAGGTGCCAGCCAGGGAAACAACAAGTACCCTCGCTTCACGTCGCTTGTATGACGCGGCTGGAGAAGTCAATCCGGACAAATGCCCAGTCAACTTGAATGTAAGCATGAAAGTCCTTGAATGTAAGCATGAAACAGAATATCTTTAATATAAATATGAACATATACAATTTTCTTTAAACAGTCAGCGGGTCAACACAGGGCAGTTCAACCCAGATATACACTATACATGTTTTATACACTACGATCTGTGTCATGGAATGCAAAATTTTCAAGATAATTTCATGTACATATATTTACATTCTCTGAAAATAAATAGAGTATGAAATAGTTTTATTCCTGCTTTTAATGGCTTCCTAGTAAGACAGCGTGACCATGAAGAGATGGTAAATATTCACGAAACGAAGAGTATAATGAGTATACTGAAGCAATAACAGCTATAAGAATGTGCCGACGTCCTGTATGACAATCACAATAATAATAAATAATAATATGTGTACATTTATATAGCGCTAAGCACCAGTCTAGGCTGTGTATGACGTATCAGTGCAAATACTTTCTCCTGAGAAATATATCTCAATTTTGACCTGAAAGTTTCCTCTTCTTGGGTGTTTCTTTGTTAGCTGACAGAAACTTCCGGGGAGTTGCAGAGGTCAAGAACCAATCTGTTTCTGCATTTGAGAGATCCCCGCCATTTGCTGTCCTTGAGATGTAGATATGCAACATAGTACGCTGTTCATGATCTCACCACATCACACGTTATGCCTAACGGTCTAACAGCACTCCGAGGTGCACCATTAGCAGGATAGGATGATGAAATGTGTTGATTATGAATCATTCCTCCGTCAGCACAGTGCTGTCACCCTGGATCCCTCTTCACAATAAATGAGACAAAACCTTTTCCATATCTCACAAAATGGCCAAAAAGAACTTCTTCAAGTTTGCTCCAACGTCTGAGACTGGGTAAGGAACAGGAAGCTGATGCTATCTGACTCCAGTCACTACCTCAGCTCTCCACCACCTTCACGTCAAAGTTCCTGCTATGACGCGGCAGACCCGGAGCTGCTAGCGCTGCTTCTTTCCGACATAAGCATCCTGATGACGGAGGGAACACCACTGCTTTCTGATTCCTCCCCGTCCTCAGTCACGCCCCCTGACTCCACCATCACCTTCTTCTTCGCAGCAGCTGCCCTCAGTGCTTGTCTGTATTCCCTGTCGCCCTCCATCAGCTCCCTAGGAAGACAGCGTGTGGCTATACTACACAGGGCATGGCTGTACTACACACGGCATGGTTATACTACACAGGGCATGGCTGTACTACACAGGGCATGGCTATACTCACACATGACATGGTTATACTGCACAGGGCAAGGTTATACTACACAGGGCATGGCTGTACTACACAGGGCATGGCTGTACTGCACAGGGCATGGCTGTACTGCACATGGCATTACTACACACGGCATATATGTACTACACAGGGCATGGCTGTACTACACAGGGCATGGCTATACTATACAGGGCATGGCTGTACTACTACACAGGGCATGGCTATACTACACAGGGGCATGGGTATTTACTATACACAGGGCATGGCTATACTATACAGGGGTATGGCTATACTACACAGGGCACTGTACTACACAGGGCATGGCTATACACACAGGGCAGGCATGCTACACACACAGGGCATGGCTATACTACACAGGCATGGTTATACTCTACACAGGGCATGGCTATACTACACAGGGCATGGCTGTACTACACAGGGCATGGCTATACTACACAGGGCATGGCTATACTACACAGGGCATGGCTGTACTACACAGGGCATGGCTATACTACACAGGGCATGGCTATACTACACAGGGCATGGCTATACTACACAGGGCATGGCTGTACTACACACATGGCATTACTGTACTACACGGGCATGGCTATACTACACAGGGCATGGCTGTACTACACACAGGGCATGGCTATACATATTACAGGGCATGGCTGTACTACACAGGGCATGGCTGTACTACACAGGGCATGGCTATACACAGGCATTATACTACACATGGTATGGCTATACTACACTGGGCATGGCTATACTACACAGGGCATGGCTATACTACACAGGGCATGGATGTACTACACAGGGCATGGCTATACTACACAGGGCATTGGTGTCCTACACAGGGCATGGCTATAATACACAGGGCGTGATAATGCTACACAGGGCATGGTTATACTGCTTAGACATGGCTGTTCTACACAGGGCATGGCTATACTACACAGCATTGCCATACTACACAGGGCATGACTGTACTACACAGGGCATGGCTATACTACACAGGGCATGGCTGTACTACACAGGGCATGGCTATACTACACAGGGCAAGGTTATACTACACAGGGCATGGCTATACTACACAGGGCATGGTTATACTACACAGGGTATGGTTGTACTGCACAGGGCATGGCTATACTACACACAGGGCATGGCTAAACAGGGCGTACTACTACACAGCATGGCTGTATACACAGGCAAGGTTATACTACACAGGGCATGGCTATACTACACAGGGCATGGCTGTACATTGCATGGCTGTACTATGGCATATACTACACAGGGCATGGCTATACTACACAGTGCATGGCTGTACTGCACATGGCATTACTACACACGGCATATATGTACTACACAGGGCATGGCTGTACTACACAGGGCATGGCTATACTATACAGGGCAAGGCTGTACTACACAGGGCATGGCTGTACTACACAGGGCAAGGTTATACTACACAGGGTATGGCTATACTACACAGGGCATGGTTATACTACACAGGGTATGGTTGTACTGCACAGGGCATGGCTATACTACACAAAACACGGCTATACTAAACAGAACACGGCTATACTAAACAGAACACGGCTATACTACACGGGGTATGGCTATACTACACAGGGCAAGGTTATACTACACAGGGTATGGCTATACTACACAGGGCAAGGTTATAATACACAGGGTATGGCTATACTACACAGGGCAAGGTTATAATACACACGGCATGACTGTACTACACAAGGCATGGCTGTACTACACAGAAAACGGCTATACTACACAGGCATGACTATACTACACAGGGCATGGCTGTACTACACAGGGCATGGCTTACACTGATGTCTATCTCCCTATTCCCGCCTGTCACGTACACTGATATCTTACTCGCCTGTAAGCTACCTCCCCGTTCCCACCCCTGTCAATGTTTCAGTTCTTTTACTCACCCATAATCCACCTCTCCGTTCCCATCTTTGTCCAACCTCTTGACCAGTTCGTCCACCTGCTCCTTGGTCATCACGATGCCAGCAGACTGGAAACACACCAGCAAATGTGTAACCAAACTTTCACCTTTACGTGTTATACACAACCGTAAAGCAAAATTATACATATAATATACATATTATAATTATACATGCCATCCACATGTCATACATATGCATGCCCATATGCAGTGTTAACAACATCCCCCGAATTATATTTGCTAAAAGACCATTTAAAAAATGAAGGTAGCAGGACTCGGACCATGTGTAACATAGGCCGTACCTGTATGCCAACATGAAACTCTTGCTTCGTGATGGACATATTGCCGTCTTTGTCAAAGTCCCGGAAGAGGTCAATCAGACGGTATCCCGCATCCCGGATGTAGTTCTTTATCTTGGTCATTGGGTTGTTGGCGAGCCACCGTTCCCACTCGACCCCTCTGAGGGTGGTGAGCTTCAGGAGCTTCTTCTTCAGGCCACCATACACCACCATGAGATTCCGCTCCCTCTCCAGCTTGTCCTTCAGATCAATGAAGCTGTCCATCACCCAGACATTCTGGCAACAGCGAGATGACCACCCGAGGTAAGTGTACAGTTCCAGTGATGGAAGATGGATGCACAGACTAATTTCACACCATATAACATTTATACCCTACCAACAGTTCCAGCCACCTGACTTAAAGACATTAAAGGTACTATTTTACACCACACTTCTCGCATTTCTCTCAATAATACTATAAGCCACCATGTAATTTATTCCCAAAAATAATTACGTATTTAGATAACAATATTAAATTAAAAGTTGCACTAAATCGACTCTCGCACCCTCTACCGGCCGAACATTATTTCAAGTGAACCCCATATACATGTAGTTATGTCCCTTGGAGCGCTCTTTACGAATATCCTACTCACAGCTTGTGATTTGTAAGAAGTTCGAAACACACTGACAACACCGTGTGAGACAGTTTTCGATGTACGGAGCAATTGTTTACATTCCATATAAGGCAAGTGTTCTCTGTTTGGAAGCTGTTCGCCTCGAAGTTTTAATTATCGATTTCAGGCAAACGTAAGGGATAATAAGTCTTTCATTGCATCAACAGGAAGCTAAAGTGAGTGCATATGCCTCAATATACTAGTACATATAGGCCAAGATATTGTCGAAAATGTGTGATATTGTGCCTTTAAGACCGACAGTTCCAGCCACGGGACTTAAATACAGACTGTTATACCCACCAACAGTTCCAGATACTTCAGACAGCTGCAGTCGTTCCTGTCTACTGCCACCAGCAGAGCCAATGACCCGTCACTGCCGAGGGGATTCGAGCTTATCTGAAGAGGTGAGGTGAGGTGAAATTGGGTTTAACGTCGCGCTGGAGAATATTTCGATCATATGACGACGTGCATGCGTGTGTATGTGTAGGTGCGGCTGCTTGTACTAGCCCAGACTGAAGCTGGTTTTATATTGCTAGCCCACTGAGATACCATGCCGCAGTGAAGCATGAATACCCCACTCAGACACATTATACTGACTCCGAGCCGACCAGTCCTTGTTGTACCCATTAATGCCGAGCGCCAGGCAGGGACCAACAAGTACCATATTTTAACGTCTTTTGGTATGACGCGGTCGGGGATCGAACCCGCGACCTTCCACTCTCCGGGCGGACGCTCTAACCACTACACCACGGAGGCGGTCCTTATCTGAAGAACATTCAATATACGATATATACGAGTACTCTGTTTTGACACCCCAAATGTATTTAGAAGCGGTGCTGTCATGAACAATGTAATGTTTAGACAAAAGGAAATGGCGATGAATGCATAACGCCCTTTAGAAAGTGATCATATGTAACATATGTTATATTTTGGATTACATTTTCTCAGTAATCTAGATTCTAGTAATTTACTGAGAAAATGTACTCCAATGAATCACATATGTTACAAATAAGAAATGACACTTAGTGAATAAATATAATTGCAATTCGATTTTCGAATCTCTCCAGAGATTACAAATAATGCTCACTCTCTTCCTTTGCTTGAACCACCGAGTTTCATATTTGACAGCTTGTGTATCAGATACGAGTATTAATGCCCCTACCTTCAGTGACTGCAGCACGTCATTTACTTGCAGACCAACTGCCACGTGACCAGCTCCCTCTTCCGGTATTCGGTTAAAACTAATATCAAGGTCAAGCAGTGTCCTATTGGCCTTCAGTGCCTTCCCCATAGCCTCTGCCCCGGCAAGTCCGAGTCCGTTCATGGAGAAGTTGAGAATGCGTAGACCATAGTTCTCCTGGGGAAGAGGAGACACAGACATGACTGTGAGATAAAGTAGACTAAGCAAAATATAACCATTATATATACTACTCAACGGAAGTTAAGGATTTTGTTTTATGGCTATAGTTAATCTAAAAAAATATCATTTTTAATCTTTAATCTTCGACACGAGGGCCTGTGGAACCCAGGAGTGATGGAGGTCGTAGACGTTCGCCACGTAAGAGAAATCAATGGGCACTGGTGTGGAGATTACAAACCAATTATTTCAGAAAGAAACTAGATTGTAATCTATGATCCTTGCTCGCTTAAGGGGACAACTCTGCACAGGTTATTGCTGTACCTTCCACATACATAAACATGCCCAGACAAACCAAAATTCAAAACACAAAAAGCGAAGGGGAGGTCAGAGTAACCTGACACTTTTATCCAACCGAGGGGACTAACTTGTAAAGTGTCTGAGGGTTTCATATTCCATTCAGCTGCTTGACTAGATCGACCGTACCTGACCCGTATAGATCCGGGCTAGAATTGTTCTTCAGTAACCCATGCTTATCGTAAAAGGCGACTAACGGGATCGGGTGGTCAGACTCGCACATGGCATCATATCCCAATTGCGTAGATCGATGTTCATGTTGTTGATCACTGGATTATCTGATCCAGACTCGATTATTTACAGACCGCCGCCATGTTGCTGGAATATTGCTGGGTGCGGCGTTTAACAATCAATCAATCAATCAATCAGTCAACCAATCAATCAATCAATCGTACCTGAACCCCCTCGGCTATGTAGATGGCCCCTCGTGTCCTGAACCTGTTCCAGCTCAGGTCCAGAGTCTCCAAGGATTCGTTGTATGAAAGTGCCTCCTTGAAGTGGAGAGCACCTTCCTCCTCGAAGTGGTTGTGGCTGAGGAACAGGTGGCGGAGAGATGTGTTCTTCTGTACAACAAGCACAAGCTTGACAAACCAACCCTCGTTTCAGAAAGAGAACGGCAAGGTACGTTTCTTATTTCTAAACGTGTAATCTTATACAGTTAATTAAGTCTTACGGGGTTCTCTTCCGCGGGCCTTATATCAAGACGGTAAGTCATCTTCTGTCTCTGCTGACATTATATATAGCTTGAAATGAATCCTGTTTCTTAAAAGTATCATGTAATATGACGGACAGTCGGAAATTGTGGAGTATTGTTTTCTAAAGGTTCAAGAAACACGATGGTCAACCGGCAATGGTGAATTAACCTGATTCATTACAGTGAGGGAACACGGTGTTCAGCGGAAATACGGGCGGTGGGGTAGCCTAGTGGTTAAAGCGTTCGCTCGTCACGCCGAAGACCCGGGTTCGATTCCCCACATGGATACAATGTGTGAAGCCCATTTGTGGTGTCCCCGCCGTGATTTTGCTGGAAAATTGCTAAAAGCGGCGTAAAACTAAACTCACCAACTCAGCGGAAATCGAGAAGTATCCTGTTTATTAAGGACAATCCTTTCCCGGCAAAGATGAAGTATCCTTATTGATGAAGGATACTTGTAATACGATGGTCAATCGAGAAGTAATCTGTTTCCTATCATGCAGTTCCACACACTTGTGTCCTGCTTTTGAGGTGCAATCGAGTGCTCCTTTCACCAAGATTTCGAAAAGCGTCCCACGTCGCTTTCTCAGAAGTTGTTCTACGGAGCTAACAACATTCAAGGCCTCAGAGGTGAGTTGAGGTGAGGTGAGATGAGGTGAGGTGATGAGGTGACATTGGGTTTTACGTCGTGCTTGAGAATATTTCGCTCATATGACGACGTGCATGCGTGTGTATGTGTATGTGCGGCTGCTTGTACTAGCCCAGACTGAAGCTGGTTTTATAGTGCTAGCCCACTGAGATACCATGCCGCAGTGAAGCATGAATACCCCACTCAGACACATATACTGACTCCGAGCCGACCAGTCCTTGTTGTACCCATTAATGCCGAGCGCCAGGCAGGGACAAACAAGTACCATATTTTAACGTCTTTTGGTATGACGCGGTCGGGGATCGAACCCGCGACCTTCCTCTCTCCGGGCGGACGCTCTAACCACTACACCACGGAGGCGGTCCCTCAGAGAAGTTTTCAAAACGTGATGTCAAATGCAATTACCTATTTTGCGTCTTATGGTTCAAACACATCTTCAACATGATCTGATGAGGTTACATGTTTGCTACTGTTCCCTGTTTATAGTTTCCTAATGGTGAGGTATTCTGTCTTTGGAACAGGAAGGAGCTATAACATATATTACCCACTCACAGATTCAGCCTGTTACAGAGTGGATTCACACATAAACTTGATGCCCAATAGCTGCTCAAGTCTCAAGTCAAACCTTACCGATTTAGATTCATATAAATATTCACAGTAGCTACACTTACCAGACACTTTCCAACCGCCCATACACACACGTTTATATTAGTGTACTGACTGACTGAGTTTGGTTTTACGCCGCTTTTAGCAATATTCCAGCAACATCACGGCGGGGGACACCAGAAATGGGCTTCACACTTTGTCCCATGTGGGGATTCGAACCCGGGTCTTCGGCGTGACGAGCCAACGCTTTAACCATTAGGCTACCCCACCGCCCCTTATATTAGTGTACGGAAGATTAGTATTATGTATGGGTCTCATGTTCTTTAAAAACTTGAGTCTAAAATAACTTACCTTTAACATCTGGCATATGTTCTCTGCCGCTGAATCTTTTATATCGTTGCCTGCAAACGAGGAATAATTGGTAAGAATGGAACTAAGTCTACTATTGTATTGATATAAGTTTCAGGTAGGGAGGGAGGTAGAGTGCAGATCAGGGACATACATTGGTGCAGGTGGCTTACCTGAGAGGTCCAGCTTTGTGACGGTATCATTCTTCATGAGAATCTCACACATAGACAGAGCTCCTGCACTGCCAATCTTGTTCTCAGACAGAATCTGAAACACAACTGTCATCTCAATCTTTGACAACAGAACACAATGGTTCTATATGTGACTAGCACCAAGCATTTAGTGAATGCCCCACAACCCTGGATATCATCAGGAATCAGCAAGCATTTAGTGAATGCCCACAACCCTGGATATCATCAGGAATCAGCAAGCATTTAGTGAATGCCCCACAACCCTGGATATCATCAGGAAGCCCCAAGCATTGAGTGAATGCCCCACAATCCTATATATCACCAGGAAGCCCCAAACATTTAACAGGAATCGTACATTGAGTGAATGTCCTACAACCCTGGATGTCAACTGGAATCAACAAGCATTGAGTGAATGCCCCACAACCCTGGATATCATCAGGAATCAGCAAGCATTGAGTGAATGCCCCACAACCCTGGATATCAACAGGAATCAGCAAGCATTTAGTGAATGCCCAACAACCCTGGATATCAGCAAGCATTGAGTGAATGCCCACAACCCTGGATATCACTGGAGCCCATTGAGTGAATGCCCACAACCCTGGATATCATCAGGAATCAGCAAGCATTGAGTGAATGCCCCACAACCCTGGATATCATCAGGAATCAGCAAGCATTGAGTGAATGCCCCACAACCCTGGATATCATCAGGAATCAACAAGCATTGAGTGAATGTCCCACAACCCTGGATATCATCAGGAATCAGCAAGCATTGAGTGAATGACCCACAACCCTGGATATCAACTGGAATCAACAAGCATTGAGTGAATGCCCACAACCCTGGATATCAACTGGAATCAACAAGCATTGAGTGAATGCCCACAACCCTGGATATCAACTGGAATCAGCAAGCATTGAGTGAATGCCCCACAACCCTGGATATCAACTGGAATCAACAAGCATTGAGTGAATGCCCCACAACCCTGGATATCAACAGGAATCAACAAGCATTGAGTGAATGCCCCACAACCCTGGATATCATCAGGAATCAGCAAGCATTGAGTGAATGCCCCACAACCCTGGATATCATCAGGAATCAACAAGCATTGAGTGAATGTCCCACAACCCTGGATATCATCAGGAATCAGCAAGCATTGAGGGATGCCCACAACCCTGGATATCATCAGGAAGCCCCAAGCATTGAGTGAATGTCCCACAACCCTGGATATCATCAGGAATCAGCAAGCATTGAGTGAATGCCCACAACCCTGGATATCATCAGGAATCAGCAAGCATTGAGTGAATGCCCACAACCCTGGATATCACCAGGAATCAACAAGCATTGAGTGAATGCCCACAACCCTGGATATCATCAGGAAGCCCCAAGCACATAGCAGTTTACTCTGCTCACCAGCTCAGTGATATAGATGTTGTCTCTCAGCATCTCGGCCAGACTCACACAGCCCGCCTCATCTATCCAGTTCCCCTCCAGATCCAGTTTCTCGATCTTACTGTTGGTCTAAAACAGAGATAAGGACTGATCAATGCCTCACGTTAACATGAAAGAAATGAAAGATATATTCATGCATAACGAAAGTGTGCACTATCACTCCTTACCTTGAGTGGGACACACATAGCCTTGGCTCCCCGGGGCCCTAGTCCATGGAATCTCATGTGCACCTCCTGGTCGGTGATGTGTTTTACGAAGTAGGTGGCGGCTGTTACTCCGATGGCGTCACATGCTGCAGTGTAGCGTCTCCCACCTGTGAGATCATCCTTGAGACGAAGTTGCTCGGCGTTCAGCCACTCTGTTAGGGCAGGGATTATTGCGTTATTTGTGAATTTAATGTGCAGTTTGCATGGCAATGTATTGAACGTAAACAACGATGTAGCGGTTTTGCTTTAATTAAAACTGTTTGATTGATGTATCCTATATGGACTAGACATCCTAAATGTGATGCTGGGTTTGTCAACATCATACTCGTCAACCTCAGGATCTCCTCACACGTTTATCTCACATTCTGTGATATACATCCAGTACAGTTCAAAGCGCGTCACATTCGCGGTCCAGAAGGACTCGTGACACTACTTACTGTCCATGTCCATGTCGAGGTCAGTGTCGTAGTCAACCTCACGTTCTTCGTCTGATTCCGACTCGGACTCGCTGACGTCACATACGACCTCATCTGATATGTCCAGGCCATACTGTGTGATGAGGATGTTGCGCATCTCCTCTGCCTCACGTTCTATGTCTGCCATGCTCCGTCTGGACAGACGTGCACTACCTGAAAAACAAATTTAATCAAAACCGGTTTTCAGAAGGAATACTATTGCAAAAGCCCCTCACCCCTCCAAACTACATAGGCTCTAAATAATTTTCGCCACTGCCAGAGTGTTATTTACATTATTTTCAAATTAAACATAATTTTTATTCGGATTAAATTTCATTTCGACCTTTTTGAGATGGTGTCCTTTTCGACTTTGCACTGGTCAGTGAGACTGCATTGTCTTCTGCGATGTCAAAGTCGGGGTCGTCTTCTGCCATGTCAAGGTCAGGGTCGTCTGTTGCCATACCAAGGTCAGGGTCGTCTGCCCAGGACATTTCGGAGGCTGAAGCTGGATCACGAGTTGACCTACTTCCATGTTCCGACCTTGACCCAATGTGAGACGCGACCGGTGTCGGAGATGTTGCAACTGACTCTAGCGTCTGCTGGGAGCCCGCATCGTCCTCCATGACCTCCTGTAAGAATCAGAATATGTTTACATCACACGAAACAATGAAGAATGTGTATTTGTGGGGAAGTGTATAAAAAGAAACACAGAAATCTGTTATTTTGCAGTGTTATACCTTGTAGACAGAGTTCCCGAGGTTAACAGTGTTCTGAACACATAATATTACAGAAAGATCTGCCTTAGTGTAGAATTGTCTAGATCTGATTCATGTCTATATGAAGGGATCTGGTTATTGCCCTCACCTAACGTTACATTTCAAGTTACCAGGGGCTCCTTTCGCGAAGCAACCTTTACTAAGGTTAACCTTAACTCCCATTCTTTAACATTGCACTAAGGTTACCATAGTGACTTAAGATCACCTTAGTGCTTTGTGAAAGGAGGCCCTGATGACCAGCATTCTGTGTGATGTTAATATACCCTGCCAAGGACAATTGTTACGGAGAATCGAATATTACCATCATTGGCTTTATTGCTATAAGCACTGCTCTTGTAGTATACTACCTCTTAATTTGTACTGCCCCTCTGTTTTGTCGACCCATCAAGATCCGGGTTAGAATGAACCTTAAGTAACCCATGCTTGTCGTAAGAGGCGACTAACGGGATCGGGTGGTCAGGCTCGCTGGCTTGGTTGACACATGTCATTGGTTCCCAATTGCGCAGATCGATGCTCATGCTGTTGATCACTGGATTGCCTGGTCCAGACTCGATTATTTACAGACCGCCACATATAGCTCGAAAATTGCTGAGTGCGGCGCAAAACTAAACTCACTCACTCTATTTTGTCTTGCAATAGTGATACCTTTGTATTGAATTGTATTGGTTTGTGAACCTAATTCATTTTAGTATATAAGTTAATTACAACACAATTCTTTGTCCTTTGTCGGTTTCACACCTAGTCCTTTACCAACTGATTGCCGGTGAACTGTTCAGTTTCAACTTCAGAATGAACCCGTAACACCACTGACTTGACTGACAGGAAACACCCAAACTGTTATCGGATGTCTACAGAATGACATATAGGCACACCTACTGGCCTATGTCACAATGTGGGAATGTACATTTATCATAGATAGGGATGTTTTATACGATTGTAATGTCCACTCCGTCCATCACTGAAGCCTGCTTACCACCAAGACACAACAACACGACAAATAATGTAACGATATTAAATTACCTTAGTTGAACTAAAGTGAGTGGAACAGATCACATTCAGTGTGTCAGAAGTACAAGCGACACAAGAAGGCAGCGATTAGAATGTGTTTCGTAAGTCCTGAAGGTGTTCATCCAGCCATACGTGAACGCGGAGGCTAATCCTGCGGCAAGTACTCATAGTGACTGCCCCTCCATCTGCACAGGTAGATTGAGTGGAACGTAGGAGAATGCTACAAAGGATGTGCACGCTTCGTTGAGTGGCATTATGCCAAAGTTACCATACCGCTCCTGGCTGTAATTCCAGCTAGTTAAGCGTGTATGTAACAGGGTTAAATGAGCGAGCACACTGGGTTCAGTCTTGCGGGAAAAAACCTCGAATTATGTGGACATTGTAGTTATTATGTAATGACCTTCCCAGTGTACGAATATAATTAAAATGGTTTGAAATGGTTAAAAGATCTACCATGAATTTAATTAACTATATGGATTGTCGACTACATGTTGGGGGTCTTAGTTTGAGACAAACGGAAGGCTTATGGTAGACCAGATTGCATTTAGGATCCATCGGAGATTACAATGTGACATGGTCTCAATGAAGTACAGGGATACGAGAGGTATATATGTAAGACCGTGTACATCTCTCCTCAGAAAGTATATATATATATGCGTGTCATTCTTGAACGGGGGAATGTTTATATAAACTTTTAGGCAAAATAAAGAATTCACTCATTTTAGGTGTTTTACCCACAGTTTGCATTGTTTTTTTCACCTTCAGTTTCCATTGGGTAATTTTACCTTCAGTTTGCGTTGGATTTTTTTACCTTCAGTTTGCATTCGGTGTTTTTAACCTTCACTTTACAGTGTTTTTGGACCTTCGGTTTGCATAGTTATTTGGACCTACAGTCTGCAGTGGGTTTTTTACCTTCAGTTTGCATAGTTATTTGGACCTACAGTCTGCAGTGGGTTTTTTACCTTCAGTTTGCAGTGTTTTTTTACCTTCAATTGGCAGTATTTTCTGGAGATTCAGTTTGCATCAGATTTTTTACCTTCAGTTTGCAGTGGGTTGTTTTTTAACCTTCACCTGCATTGGGTTTTTTACCTTCAGTTTGCAGTGTTGGGACTTTTGAGTTTGCAGTGTTTCGGGGATTATTTTCACCCTAGTTGTCTTGTTTCAGTCAAATCTTTTAATAAAGACTTTCTTTTGTCCCACAGTGTATAACGTTGATGGTTAAAACAATTACCTTCTATGCAAGACTTCTGACTTTTGAATATCATTCAAACTACATCAAAAAGGGCAATATAAAGTATAATAAGTTTGGGTTTGTTTAGGTACTTGAAACATTAAAAGGATTCCTGTTAATTATGTCTATGTAACCATTACTCATACCTGAAACGGTTTGTAAAAGGTAATCTGTGGGTGAGTAATACTGTGTAAATACTGGTCCAGTGACTCAAGAGTGGGGTAAGGAAAACGTTCCAGCCACATGACCCACAACTAGTTATTCCAATACATTCTGGTTGTCACCGTTTATCTCCGACGAGAAGGCAGGTGGACATTGGACTGGCCTGCTGGGTCTCCTGACATGTCCCCACATGAACATCTGTGGGGATGTACGCCGGAACGTTTTTACACCGACGTGACCCAGCATGGGGTAGCTCTTGGGTGGAATGGGGGACAATATCAAGGGCATGAATACGCAATTTGATCATCAGTATGACGTCATGGCATGTTATTAATGTGTCGTCTATCATTGTGGACACACAAGATATGGATCTACATGCCCGCAATTTATCTTACAGATATTTATCATTCCATATTTCTTGTCGTAAATATATAATATATTTGTAGAAATAACTGAAACTGATTAACTGTTTGAAATATTGGTTTGAAAATTATCAGACATGTTCAAACGGCTACCGGGCGGTGGGGTAGCCTAGGGGTTAAAGCGTTGGCTCGTCACGCCGAAGACCCGGGTTCGATTCCCCACATGGGCAAAATGTGTGAAGCCCATTTCTGGTGTCCCCAGCCGTGATATTGCTGGAATATTGCTAAAAGCGGCGCAAAATCAAACTCACTCACTCACTCAAACGGCTACCAAGTAGCCTTTTTCTTTCGTGCTTTCTGGGTTTTTTCTTTCTGACACTATAATGTTGTGAACTGCTGGTATGGTCAAACAAATATGGCTAAAATGAGTGAAAATGGCAGATGCTGAGAACACCAAATAACCATTTAAGTACAACAAGTCCGTAATCCAAAATGGGGTCCTTACATACAGCAGGCCAACACTCATGACTTGACACGGACTCCTGACGCATCCACATGTGACGTCTCGTCAACAACACAACCACATTTGGTTGGTGCATCTACGGAAACATCTACGGAAACGACGCCAAACTGCTACATTAACATCTCGGATAATTCATGGGTTACGACCAGTCAGTCACAGAACACTACGCAGTCAATCAATTTAGCTTCCAACCAGACAGCATCTATGGTTCTGGGCAAGACTGATAGTCCACTGTTCACAGATGAGACCAGGTTTGGTCAGCTCTGATTGGTCAAGCTTACATTCGCTTGCAAAACTCGGTTTTGAGAGTTGAAGTGTTATGTTGGCATTACAGTCCATGGGAAAACTCATCAGTGGTTATGGCTTATTGAATGGAAACAAAACGTCGAAAGCAGCAGGATAATGCCTGCCCACCTGTTGTCTATGTTGTATAACATTTTTGCACTGTCATAGCCTACTTTTTCACGAGACCTTTCCCAACAGAAAGAAATGGGATAAGATGGTTGACACGTACAACAGGATTGAAACCAGCTGGTAACGCTTGTCCAGTCGGATAAATTTTAGGCCATTGATGGTGACCACGCCATATTTGAAATGGTTAATCTTTCAGTCATGTGAGATTTGGTAATGAATGTATTATTTTAAAAGATTGATCAAACGTATAACCAACTATTATGTTATTTCCAATAAAATAAAACCCCTTTTTATGAAGCTCAGCTACCCTTGTCGGCTACAATATGTATTTATATATTTATTTTTGTCCCAAACGTGACAAACATGCAATTGTTCAGATGTGAACATGTAGAAACGTTCATAACCAATTCTAAAAGATGTGCAAAATTATTAAATTATGCATAATTCGTAGTCCAAAAAGGCCCTATGTCCTACCTTGTCCTTCGGTTTTGATACCCGGGCCCTACTTTTGCTGTAGGAGTGGAGTACACTGGAGTACACTAGACTGCTGTACAACAGAGTGGAGTACAGTGGAGTGGTCTACAGTGGAGTACAGTAGAGTGCTGTACAGTGGAGTACAGTAGAATAGACTAGAGCTGAGTAGAGTGGAGTACAGTAGAATAGACTAGAGCTGAGTACAGTAGAGTGGAGTACAGTAGAGAATAGACTAGAGCTGAGTACAGTAGAGTCGAGTACAGTAGAGTACACTAGAGTGGAGTACAGTGGAGTGGTCTACAGTGGAGTACAGTAGAGCGGAGTACAGTAGAATACACTAGAGCGGAGTACAGTGGAGTGGTCTACAGAGGAGTACAGTAGAGCGGATTACAGTAGAGTGGTGTACAGTAGAATAGACTAGAGCTGAGTACAGTAGAGCGGAGTACAGTAGAGTGGAGTACACTAGAGTGGAGTACAGTAGAGTGGAGTACAGTAGAGTGGAGTACAGTAGAGTACACTAGAGTTCAGTACAGTAGAGTGGAGTACAGTAGAGTGGGTGGAGTACAGTAGAGTACACTAGAGTTCAGTACAGTAGAGTGGAGTACAGTAGAGTGGATTACAGTAGAGTGCTGTACAGTAGAATACACTAGAGCTGAGTACAGTAGAGAGCGGAGTACAGTAGAGTACACTAAAGTGGAGTACACTAGAGTGGAGTACAGTAGACTACACTAGGTGGAGCACAGTACAGTAGGAGTGGAGTACAGTAGAGTGGAGTACAGTAGAGTACACTAGAGTTCAGTACAGTAGAGTGGAGTACACTAGGAGTGGAGTTCAGTACACTAGAGTGGAGTACAGTAGAGTGGTGTACAGTAGAGTACACTAGAGCTCAGAGTACAGTAGAGTGGAGTACAGTAGAGTGGAGTACAGTAGAGTGGAGTACAGTAGAAGTAGACTAGAGTGAGTACAGTAGAGTGGAGTACAGTAGAGTAGTACACTAGAGCTGAGTACAGTAGAGTGGAGTACAGTAGAGAGTACACTAGAGTGGAGTACAGTGTAGAGGTCTACAGTGGAGTACAGTAGAGCGGAGTACAGTAGAATACACTAGAGTGGAGTACAGTGGAGTGGTCTACAGTAGAGTACAGTAGCGGAGTACAGTAGAGTGGTGTACAGTAGAGTGGAGTACACTAGAGCAGTGGTGAGTACAGTAGAGCAGGAGTACAGTAGAGTGAGAGTACACTAGAGTGGAGTACAGTAGAGTACAGTAGAGTAGAATAGACTAGAGCTGAGTACAGTAGAGTGGAGTACAGTAGAGTGGAGTACAGTACCAGAGTGGAGTACACTAGAGTGGAGTACAGTAGAGTGGTGTACAGTAGAATAGACTAGAGCTGAGTACAGTAGAGTGGAGTACAGTAGAGTGGAGTACAGTAGAGTGGAGTACAGTAGAATAGACTAGAGCTGAGTACAGTAGAGTGGAGTACACTAGAGCGGAGTACAGTAGAGTTCAGTACAGTAGAGTGGAGTACAGTAGAGCGGTGTACCGTGGAGTGGTGTACACGAGAGTGGAGTACAGTAGAGTTCAGTACAGTAGACTAGGGCGGAGTACAGTAGAGTGGAGTACAGTAGAGTGGAGTACAGTAGAATAGACTAGAGCTGAGTACAGTAGAGCGGAGTACAGTAGAGTGGACTACACTAGAGTGGAGTACAGTAGAGTTCAGTACAGTAGAGCGGAGTACAGTAGAGTGGAGTACACTAGAGTAGAGTACACCAGAGTTCAGTACAGTAGAGTGGAGTACAGTAGAATAGACTAGAGCTGAGTACAGTAGAGCGGAGTACAGTAGAGTGGAGTACACTAGAGCGGAGTACAGTAGAGCGGAGTACAGTAGAGTGGTGTACAGTAGAATAGACTAGAGCTGAGTACAGTAGAGTGGAGTACAGTAGAGTGGAGTACAGTAGAGCGGAGTACAGTAGAGCGGAGTACAGTAGAGTACACTAGAGTTCAGTACAGTAGAGTGGAGTACAGAAGATAGGAATACAGTAGAGTACACTAGAGTGGAGTACAGTAGAGTGGAGTACAGTAGAGTACACAAGAGTTCAGTACAGTAGAGTGTAGTACATTAGAGTTCAGTACAGTAGAGTGTAGTACATTAGAGTTCAGTACAGTAGAGTGTAGTACATCAGAGTGGAGTACAGTAGAGTGGAGTACAGTAGAGTGGAGTACATTAGAGTTCAGTACATTAGAGTTCAGTACAGTAGAGCGGAGTACAGTAGAGCGGTGTACCGTGGAGTGGTGTACCGTGGAGTAGTACTTGACCCCTATCACTGTAGTTCTTCAGTTGTCACAACACCTGGTATAACTGTGTTATAACATAATCTTTCGTACGATATTGACACTACTAACCTGTCAATCACATTTCCACACTGACATATGAAGCACGGTTTGCCATTGTAGAAATCTGGTAACCAAGGTTACGCCTGTCAGAACTCCTATATACCCTGACCACATACTTGGGTCCACTTGCGGCTAGTTTAACAGGCGGCTCATAGTAATCAGCTCCAACAATGCGTCATAATAGCGCTAGATTATGACTTGTGACCAATATCCTGTGTTGGATTAGCATATGCGGTATTATCTGGCACTTCTACAGATAAGCTCGCTACTTGTCAGGTCAGAGGTCACCTGACTCCATGTGTGCGGATGCCTTATCAGGTTAATACAGTGACCTTGACATTTACATCAGAAGAAACATTTAAACGAGTGAGTATGGTTTTACGCCGTTTTAGCAATATTCTATCAATATCACGGCGGCCGAACCGGGATTTGAACCCCTTATCGTGACAGGTTTCCTGCAACTCTACTCAGCGAATCACGGTGCCAATGCGGATGGGCGGCCCAAGATCCCTCGTCAGTATATTACGACATCCAGTCAATAACATCATGTTATGTTGGTCGCAGAACACCCATGAGAACGAATACCGTGCTGGCAAACCAAAGCTTAGCATCGAGAGAACTGAGATTCGATCAGATTGGTTCGAGATGTCATACGTACGGGAAAACACCAAAATTCCTTCTCTCTTAAATTTGCAATAAATTAATTACATGGTAACTCAAACATATAGACATTTTAACTGACAAATAAAAGAAATGGTTTAGCTGGGCATAGAATATTTGGCGTCACAAAGCCACAACTTGATTGTACACATAACGGTCAGTCGTCTACGAGCTGGAGGGGCGGTGGGGTAGCCTAATGGTTAAAGCGTTGGCTCGTCATGCCGAAGACCCGGGTTCGAATCCCCACATGGGCACAATGTGTGAAGCCCATTTCTGATGTCCCCCGCCGTGATGTTGCTGGAATATTGCTGAAAGCGGCGTAAAACCAAACTCAGTCAGTCAGTCGTCTACGAGCTGGATATAGTGTTAACAGACAGAGAATCACAGTCGGGATGATAATGTGAAGAAGACAGTGTGTCTACCGCCAATGACTATCACCGCTGCCCATTCACGAAAAGGTTTCCTG